TTACCAGTGAGAAAAAAACCGTTACCCGAGACACCAATCGGTGAGCCTCCAAATTCTGGGCGGAAACACGATAGAGAACTCCCTAAGAAAAGATTGAACGCTAGAAGACCAACTAACCGATACAGCGGAACCAGATACCAGGCATTCCAAGGTAAGGCCTACCGCGACGATCCACGAGGTAAACTCACCAAGCGCCACAGCTGTGTGAGTGTAAGCACTACCAGCTGCAGGAATCATTGCCGCCAACTCCCCGTAGCATAGAGCTGTAAAGAGGCAGGGAAAAACACATAATAAAAAAGAAATGGCAAGAGCGGGTCCAGCATAGAGAGCCGCAGCCTGGCCGGTGATCACAAAAATCCCGGCTCCAACAACCGCCCCAACGCCAAGGCTCACCAGCGACCGCAATCCAAGTGTCCGTCGAAATGGACTACTTTCCAGTGAAGCCACGGTTGCATATATGCATCTTCGCCGCAAAAGGTTTCGAAAAAAAAAAGTGCCTAGCCGAGTTTCGGTCTTGCTAGTTACATCCATCGCTGTCCAAAAAGAATACCAAAAAAAGAAAAAAAGAAAAATCATTTTAATGTCACCGATGAAAACGCGATAAACTCAAAAAAAGAAAAACAGCACAACGAAAGAAATCAGCGAAAAAAAAATGCCATGGTGACAAAAAAAAAAAAAAAACGCAAACATATACACACACACACACACACACACACACCCAAAGGATCCAGTAGTAGAGTGTTGCAGTCAATACACATACACATTATATAAATATGAGGGAATGAAACCACGCCAGCATGCGATCTTTTTTTTCTCCTCTACACGAAATAAAACTTCCGCAATTGACATCACTGTGCCAATTGAAACCAATGTGTGTGCTTGTAAAAATAACAGAAAAAAGAAAAGAAACCCGCTCAAAAAAAAAAAAAAAAAATTCCCTGTTCAGTAGCACAGAAATGACAAACAGCAGATATATTTGGAAAAACGCAATCGGCGCAAGTGCCATTAACAATTCGGTTAATATCTCCTCGTCAATCGGTGCCCCTCCTCCTCTCAATTCTCGTAGTGCTTAGGATGGTCGAGCCCCATTCTTTTTCATTTCATCGTCCACGAATTTCATTTTTTCTCTTCTTTCGCCTTTGGATCCGTTAATTTTTTTTTATTCGTCTTTTTTTTTCTGCAGTTTTTATTTCAATGATGATTTTGCTGATTTGCCATGAGAGAGAGCCTTGGAGAAAAATCGATTGTGCTATTCAAAGAAGTTACTAAAAAGAAGATGAGCCGCAGCTTCTTCGCTTTCTTCACACGCACGGTAAGCCTCAATCGCGTCCTCTTCAGTCCAGGCACCTCCACCCAGTTCAACGAGGCGTTGAATGGCGACACGTTCCTCTTCCCTCAGTGGAATGGAAACAGAGTCAGGGGGGACATCGCCACCGCCGCCAGTGCTGGTTGTGAATTCTGTCTGGCCAGGATTCCCCATGATCCGCAAAAACCCTTCTAGATCCTGCTGGATCAACCCAATCACCTCCGGGTGGTGTATACGGAGCTGTTGTACGACGGTGGGAAGAGACTCTGGATTGGCCTGAACTATCGAGCGTATTTCTCCAAACTGAGGGATTTGCATTAATGCATTGTAAAGAGCCGAGTCACTATCATCTTGGCGCATGTGCGACGTTAGCCGGTCTGTCAGCGATGACATCCGCTCGGAGCTTGCAGACGGGTTGATAGCAGGCTCATTCATCCGCTGTAGAACATCGGATGGAATCCCGGTGCAAAGAAACTCAACAGCACGATCAGGGTTCATGTACGCCGCTCGTAGCGCCAAAGCCACCTGTTCACGATCCTCAAACCCCATGGCGATGATGTTGTCCACGAGGGTGGGGTCAACGCCATGCAAAGCCAGGCCTTGCGAGGGTGCTGCTTCCGAAGGTGGTGGTTCCGCCCCCTGCTGGGGCTCAGTGATTCCACCAGACGCACCTCCCGCTCCACTTGTCGCCGGTTCAGTTATTGCGCCCTCCCCCTGTCCATGGCCAACTGAAGTGGGCTCAAAAGAAGAATTTGTTTTTGTTTGCGGCGGAGGTACGGATGTCGCTGGCTTCGCCTGTGGCTTGTTTTTATTTCGCTTGTTCCCAGCAATGATAAAAACCGCATTCTCCTGCACGCCTAACTCCGTCATTGTCTTTGAATTTTCCGGAATAGCGCCATTGTAACACAAACGCAAACTATCCGTGTTATATTCATCCTCCAGAAACTTTTTAACAGTCTCTATATTCGTATCCGGCGTGACCTCCCTCACCTGCTCACTCCCAACAATGGACCTCAGTACAATCTTCATCGCCTTCCCCCGCACCTTTTTGATTAATCAATATAACCGCTGGATTTGTTTGCTTGAGCTCTCTTCCTAATTAGCAGAAAGAAGGGAGAGTGAAACAAACCAAAAAGACAAAAAAAAAAAAAAAAAGACTGCGGCTCATTCTTCAAAAATTCAGCACTTTGTCTCCCTCTTTTTTGACGTCAACGGCCGCCATTTTTCATAGCCACAGGGCTGCGGCCCCAAAAGAGAAAAAACTGTCTACTGAAGATGAAGGCCGCGCGGTATAAGCACCGTCAATTGTACATCAAGGCCAATCAGATAAACAACATATATACATACATCAGCACCTAAAACAAAAAAAAAAAAGAGCAATCGTACCCCAATTCTTTCTCATAAGCCTAAAAGCGCATTGGTGGGCCTCTTGGGGGCTTTGGGCGGACAGTGGGGGCCCTCTGCCGGTACAACTCCCAACAGAGCTCGTAGTCGGCAGCTGTCGGCCCTGACGCCTTCTTCGTTCGCAACTGGACTGTTCGTCGGCTTCGATCAACCAAGTCTCGTCTAACAGTAACGGCAGACTGTGGAACCGTGGGCATCTCAAATGACAGAAAATCCACCGAACTATCATTGCCAGCGCTACCGCCGAATTCGCTACAAAGAGATCCGTTCCGGATGCGATTCGTAGTAGAATCCGCCAATTTTTCCTCTCCTTTCTTTGAGTGGAGACTCATTTTCTGTTTTCGCGACGTTCTAAGATACGCCTCGTACGCCGCATTATGTGAATTCGTACAACTCTTTGCAAGTGAGTCGCATGCTAAGGCATAGAGGCAAAGCATTTCTCCACATCGTACTACTTGCGCCTCGACAAGATAGCGAATTGTCTCTTTGGGTTGGGCAGCGGTAGGAAAGGCGCACAAAACAGTTGTGTTGGTGTCTGATGTGAGCATCCAACACGCACCCGGATACCGTTGCTGCACACATGCAGGAACCCGACGTTTAGAAAATATTATTTTCCTTGCCTCAAAAGAAACCATCTTACCCACATCATTCCACCGCAAGGCATTTAGTTTAATAGTTGAATAATGACTGTCTCCCGATTCGTCAGCCGCAGCATATTTTAAGGAACCAGCAGGATCCTTTTCCACTGCCACACTGACAAACTCTTGTTTCCCAAAAACATCAGAAAGCTCCAATGTGAGACCAAAAGATCGCTCCAGTGCTATAAGCTCCTCTGCAGTAGGAAACAAATCCCGTTCAAAAATAGTACGGAGTGAAGAACACTCACACAAGGCATGAAGCTTTGTGTAGCAGCTAAGACAAGCATCAGACAGCATCCTTCGCAGTAGATAGTGCTGCTTTGATGCAAGGGATTCAATAGTTTCTCCAATGCGTATGCGATGAATGCGGCCTCCCGTGCCGCCTGCTTCTGCTCCAGCAGAGTCAAACGGCTCTCCTGTACTTTCGTTCGGCCCCTTCGAAGAGACAAATGAAGTTACATAAGAAACATCAGTCGCACCACCCATAAATTCCCCCTCAGAATCGAAACCTCCGTGAACGGCCGTGGATGTTGCTCCCCCAGCAGAATCTGTCCCCTTTCCAATCCCCAGTTTTAAAGCATCAGCATTCATTGTTTTTGGCAGTGTTACAAAGGGTGGAAAAAAGTTATATGCGCGCGCAGGAACAAAAAGCTCTGCATTCATCAGAAGCTCCAGCTGAGAGTTGCGACCGGCCACGGCACTTAGTCGCTCAATTATTTGATGAACCTCCACGGCCAGACCCTCTACACAAATAATCCTTAAATTTTCGTCCATAACCTCAAAACCACTAATGCCAGGTGGTGTAACAATTTTAAATGGGGCATCAAACGCCGTTGGAGAAGGTGGACGTGGGGGCGAAATCGACTGAGTCCTTGGAGATTTACCGCTTTCCTTCTTCTTTTCTTTTACAGGTACTGCCCCCGGCACTGGTGCGGGCATCTCATATTGATATACGTTGCTTCCCTTGTACGCCCTTTTAAGCTGAAGTAGTGTGGCGATAAATGCCTCTAACACAATAGGCACCCACTTCGCTGCGTAAGGCATTCGTATGATGCCACGCGTGAGGAAGTGGCCATGCGCAGGTAAGCCATTGCTTAAAACATGCGTTGGACACGGAAGTGGTGTAAAAAAATCCACTCGTAGCGAAACCATCGTGCCCTTTGAGAGACAATTGTCCTCCCGAAAGACGGTGGTGCGACTAGGAAGTAGATACACCAGCTCACTGAACTCTCGCTGTCGGTCGGTTACAGCCGCGCGCAGCAATACCGTCCCCTTTCCCAAGCACGTTCTCGCCCCTTTGAACACAGAAACCTCCAACCGTCGAAAGAAGACATCTTGGTACACATCTAAGGGAGTCCGGGTCCCCAAAAAAATCACCCGACAAAATCCCACCTTGCCATTGGCCTCCAAATACAGCTCCGGGGACCGAATCTCGGTATCGCCAAACCTCACCGTCAAAAAGAGAGGGTCCTGTGAGATCTCAGTTCTGGGAAGATCGTGAACGGAGCGAACCTCAATCTTCAGCGGGCGATATCTATCTAGCTTGGCTGGCGGCAAAAACGGAGTGCCGCAACGAACCTCAAAAAAACAATCCTGTAACATAGCATCCGGCGGTACAGGCACGGAGCGACGCGTAGACGAAAGTGTCAACAAGTCAATGAGATCGAAGTTCAGAGAGAAGAGTTGATCCGCGTTTTCAATCACAAACAAATCTTCCTCTCTTTTCGCACGATCCTTCTTTCCTCCTGCTTTCCTCTGCTTCGCAGTCGTGGGTGCAGCTCCGTCCAAGGCCTCTTCCTGCGGCGGCCTGGCGTACAACTGCACCGTGTGTGAGGTGTTGCACAGCAGCTCCAAAAGCGGCAGTGATAAGGTCACCTTCCGGCAAAGAAAGCACACATCAATTTGCTCCGGGGCACGCTCCGCATAGTTCAGCGCACCTGCCAGAGTCTTTCGATCCTCCTGTCCAGCAATATTCGCAACGAAGAGAAAATCTGACGGCGAGTGCTTCTCACAAAACTCCACCGACGCCCGAGCACGGAACCACAGCTCGAGTATGCGGTCATTCTCGTCATTTATCACCAGCGCGTCCGCAACTGCGTGAACCTTCGGCATATTCTTGTAGACAAAAAAAAAAAAAAAAACAGATGCAAAAAAACAAAATCAAATGCAAGAAAAAAAAAAAAGCTCTTCCCCAGCACACCAAATAGAAAATACCAAAAAAAAAAAAAGGCAAGTCCCAAACAGAGCAAGGCCTCCAAAGGACAAATATATAAGAAGCAAAACCCTTCAAAAAGAACAAAAAAAAACAAAAAATCTATCGAGTTTGCAGCTCCCTTCTAAGAGCACCGCCTGAGGAGTTGATCGAGTCAGCTTTGGCGCCAATTCTTGAGGTGATGCAATCAATAGACTCCCTTAGCGCCAGGCAAGGATTCGACCCGGTAAAATGCTCAGAGAGCAAACGGGTCGTGTTCTTGGAACCTTTTGGTAATAATTGCCTGGTAAAGCCATCTTCTACGCTCATTGGATCAAAGACGTACTCCACAAGTCTTTTCAGTTCCTCTCCATTTCGAGTCCCTTTAAGTCCCTTCATTTCCCTTTTCGTCCCCATAAATTGTGAGGCCGGCATGGCCACTCTGTGCCCCGCCAAATCTGTTTGACTGCACGCATCTCGCATTTCTCGGAAACTATGCGTGTTCCGGGTAGCATCAGAAAGAAGTGTCGATAGATCTTCATGAGCCGCTTCTGCGGTCTTTTTCCAGTCCCACAGGTGTCCCTTTAGGCGCTGCAAACTCTTCTGACTTCCGCATTGGGCAGTGGAGAAAGAAATCTCTTCGGCCACACCTGTCACCTTATCGCGAGAAATGGCTGCCGCCATTGTGAAGAGTCTTTCAGCCACTTGATACTGTCCATAACGAAAAAAGCGCGAGCCCAGATCGGCAAAACTCGATACGCCAACGTCATTCATCACATTGGAGTCTCTTTTAATGTCTTTATTTGCCTCCACAATATCCAGAGCCTTCTTGTAATACATAATGGAATCTTCGCATGTTAATGATGAATCGCCTGCCTCAATAAAAAGTGGAATAAGGCCCATATTTTCTACTCCCAACAGACGCTCCCGTGAGCGTATCTCAGCTTTTATACGCCCCAGTTTGTCCATAACGATACTGTCGCTCGTCTCCACACGGTCATCCATGTACTGAACGCCAAGATTCCTTGCTGCATGCTTCAGCAACGCCACTGTAAATGCATCCCTTGAGTTGGTCTCATGGAAAGCTTCCTTCTCATCGCCTGACATATCAGGTGTGCTGGAAGGATACGTGGCGAGACTTTTTACTTGTTTGCTTGCTTCCTCCACGGCAGATGAAGAATACTTTGCCCACATATTTGCATATGATATTTTCTTCGAAAGCAGCAACTCAACAAGAAGAATCCACACAATCACAAAAAAAAAAAAAGAAAAAATTGCAGAATAAACTGTCAACACGTGTTTGTCAACATTTGATATATATATATCAACAAATGGTGTAACTCAAAAACAAACACATCAATACAAATTAACTTTTAAAGTTTATAACCGCTTGCAGCTCGCAAATGATCGTCTTCTTTGAGCATCCCCCTCCCCCACATTCCATGACACCACGGAGGAACGAGGCAGGGATAGGGGTGGGAGATAACAAAAGATTAAATTCTATCAATTTCCTGGGGCTCAATCACGCTTTATTCATATAAAGCCAAAAAAAAATCACAAGCGTAATATTCCGGTATTCCAGTCTGAGAAAAAGTAATAGAAAAGTCCTCATCACCGTTAACACTCCTTCTAAACGTGCTTATAGCGTGCAGCAAACTCCCCAAGGACATATTTGGGAAAAGACAGGACCCTCGCTACAACACAAATGATTATACAAGCAAAAACCATTAAGAAAGTGTATGAGAGCAGTGACTAAAAAATGCAGATATATATATATATATGGCACTCTCTATATCTCATTGACATCTCTCCTCTCCTCACGCCATGGGCTCTTCAATGCTTTTCCACCAAGATCGAATTCTCAACATTCTTACATGTGGGGACGATTCATTGCATCTAACTCAATGGATTTCTTTTTCCGTTTGTTTTTTTTTTTTTTTTTTTTTAGGGGGTGACACAGGGAGCAACAGAGCCGTAGCCCCCTTGTTGTTTTTCTGAAAGGGGGTTATTAATTGCCCTTGAACAAATCCATCTTCCGAGGAGGCCCACAAGAAGAACTAAAAAAACAACGGCGCCTGCCAATCTTATAAAAGGCAGTAAACGTTTTACGTTGTGTTCCGTGGAAGAATGTACATCTGGTTCGTAGTTTGGGAATTTCCCGGTGGATTCCATCAATTGAACATGTCCAGAAACATCATCCCATTCAAGTGCAGCCACATGGCCAGGGTCACCCTTTTTCCAACGACTCAAGCCAAAATCAATCGCAATCAGGCGTCCACCACACAGACGCCAATCGGAAAAATCGTCCGTATCATGCGGAACATGACCCACCACCACCGATTTTATCCCATGAAACTTTTTGGATAAAACTTTTTCCAGTTCGGAGCATCGAACATTTAAAATAGAACGGACAAGAATAGGGTTCGCAACTTTCTTGGCTTCATTTTCTTTTAGGCTAACTCCAACCTTTCCCATAGGGCTCAGTGTATTGTTGATCAGTGTGTCACGCAATGCCTTATTGAACTCCTCCACCGCCTTAATTCCAGTTATCATGTTTCCTGTGGCCGTCGACAAGCCCCCATGCATGAAAAGAAATTCCTTGTGGTGAAATATGGCTCTTCGCGTGCGAAGATAAATTCCCAAAGGAGTTCTGTTAGAGAGAAGCTCACGGCGCCCGGCCTTCCCGCCAGATTGCGCAAGGCTTACCGGGTCCACAGCACTAAAGTCTCCGAGAAGATTTCGAATCTCATGATTACCAAGAATCTGAATAACATCGCCACCTTCTGCCTGTGCCTCCTTCTCCAGCCTCATAAGCAGGCGCACAATCATGAGGTCATCTGGGCCAACATCAAGGATGTCGCCAAGCTGCACAAAATAGGTGTCTTTTCCAATCCAATGCTGACGCTTATTCACTAGCCCCGCAAGGTGGAGTATAGAAAGCGTTTGATTCAAATCTCCATGAAGATCGCCAACAGCTACAATGCGTCGTCCTAAACCATGATTGGTCACGAAGAAAAAAAACAAAAGAACCCATAACCACAAGGCACGCAGCATTCCTACCCGGATAAGAAAAAATTTAAACAAAAAGAACTTTTTCAAAGATTAAACAACATAAAAGTAAAAGTTGAGAATAAAAAAAAAAGCATACAATTGCAATGCGTGCAGACAATCATACTCCATACACAAAAAAATATACAAATAGTAATATATGCATACAAAGCAAACAAAAAAGAAAAATGATTACACTTAGGAGCGGATAAGTAACCATATATATATCTATATCTATATATATAGGGATGCGTACACAACAACTGATAAAACAACAAATAAGAGAAATAAAATGGATCTGAAGTATTTCAAGCCTAGCTGTTTTAATCCGATTGGGCATTTACATTCATATCGGCGGCCCATATTTCATCTGCCATTAGCTTTCCAGTTAAGCAATCAAAACGCATGCCTAAGCAAGGCTCCAATATAACTTTATTAATTCGACGCATAAGTTGTTCTCCAGGCTCAATTGCGTACCGTTTATTTCCTGCACGTAGTAGTACTAAACACAGCGCCGATAGAACCCCGGCAGTGGGAGATGTGTATTCTAAAAGACAAGCCAGAAATCCCTCAGGTTTAATTGTCAAAAGTGGCAACAATACGGTAAAAAGAAAACCAAAACATGTCTGCAGAAGAAAAAACAATGAACAGGCGGCCATCAAAAGTTGAGTAAAGTGATAAGATCGATCCTGTCTCACCATAATGTGCTGAAGAGCGACCTCAAATGCCGCGGTGCCGGCCAAGTCACGCTCCTTCGTGGGCATTTTCATTCTCCCTTTGGCCCTCCTTCTTCGTGTTCTCACTATTTACCGCACGCCAAGCGCACACTTATAAAAATTGTAATCGCCCACAGCACAAAAATGAGTTGATGAAGGCAAAAACAATATCATAATGACGGAACCAAAAGAAACACACACAATAATAATAATAATAATAAAATGAAACAGAACACATATATTCCCCTTCATTTCAATTTTTAAAAGTACAAAGATCTAAAGGATACAGCGGTACTTCTCCAAAGCTGCAGTCCCATTCCTTCAATATATATAGGGGATATGAGAGCAAATCCCTCGGTCGATGTGGTCCTTTACATTATATGAATAGAAAGCGTGTAAAAAGAGGCACTGACAGCCAAAACTAGCAAAACAAAAAAGAAAACGAGAAAAAAAAAAGAAAAAAAAAGCTCGGTGATAAATCACGACTACTTCCTGCTGCTATTTTTGTTCTTTTCTTCAGACTCCAGCCGCTTTTTCTTCTGCTCCTCTTGGTATCGTCGTCTCTCCATGGCCTCATCCAGAAGAAGCCGTGCGTCATCCTCAGCGCGAAGCCGTTCCTCCGCCTCTCGGTGCAAACGGTCAGCTTCATCTTTTAGTATACGCTTCGTCCTTTCCAAGTTTGTCATGACCGTTGTTTTCCAAGTACCCCTTAACTCCAACAATTTCCTGAAATCTTCCTCCTCCTCAGCTTCTTTTTGTGCCTTTATTTTCCGACGCATCTCTGCACCCTCCCTTGAGAAAAGTTTTTTCAAATTGCGTCCGACGAAATCCGAAGGCTTCTTACGAGAAGCGTTCTCCAGCGAAGGGTCACAACCGGAATCTAGTAAAAAAGAAATAAGATCCTCCCACTCCTTTGAATTTGGTCGCTGGTAAATAGCCGCAAGGTGGAGAGGTGTGTTCAATTCCCCATTTTGAACGTTTACGTTGGCTTTTGCAAGAACTAGAAGCTTCAAAATTTTGTAATCGCAACGAATGGCGCAAAAGTGAACCGGCCGATTGCCTTGAATATCTGCATTATCGCAGGCAGCACCTTGACGGATCAGATATTCCACCACCTCTTTTCTGCCCATTTTCACAGCCATTAGGAGAGGCGTTGTGTCAGTAATGTCCCGTTGATCCACAAAGGCGCCGTGTTCCACTAGCCACTGCGTCACGCGCACGTCACCATCCGAGGCACTTTTATGAAGTGCTGCACAATTGTTCCGATCAAGCTCATTCACCTTGCTGGAAGGGTCATCACTGCGCTTTAACAAGATCTCCATGCACTCTACACTTCCGCAAGCAGCCGCAGTGTGAAAAGGAGTAGAAAGTGTTGCAGCCTGGACAGTGTCATCAGCGCCATAATCTAAAAGAGCTTCACAACATTCAACATAATTATTTGTAACAGCTTCATGAAGCGGTGTTCGTCCCTGAAAGTTAGGAATATTGACATTTCCTGATAGTTGTTCAACCGTATACGCCAACATAGTTGTATTTTTGCCCAGTGACAAGTGCACAAGAGTGTTTCCAGATTCATCAATGCATTTGGAGACATTTTCTTTGATACTTAAGAAGTCCCTTCGTAGACGCACTAATGTATCCATGTCGCCTCGTACCACGGCCTCCCGAACAGTATCCAAAAGATCTTTGGGTCCCTGCGGGCCGCCAATGGGATTTACCGCGTTCATTCGTCTGCTAAAATTATTATCAGGTTTTTTAAAGTAAAGAAAACAAAAAAAAAATACGTTTCTCTTTGGTTCACTTAGAAATATATATATATATATTCTGACATAAACAAATCAAACCATTGGTTCATTATATTTCCTGAAGGAAGATGTTTACTCGAGAATTACACCACACTCAGATAACCACTCTTTAGTTACAATGGTTAATCCCAACATCATCGTTACGGGATCCTTCGTTTCGGAGCGCACGGATCTTTGTAAAAAGGCAAACGTGACGTACTCAGGAGGAGGAAATGTTCGCGCTATGGAACTTGATGGATGAATATAGGATATCATTGAGCGACCCAAGAGGATGTAAGGCGCTTTCGTTGCCTTCTTATCCTTGTACTCTACTCCATGGTCTCGACACTCTTGAATAGTGGCCCGTCGGGCAACTTGATCCTTAAGGCCATAAATAAATAATTTTCTTAAGAGTAATTCCTGCTCCTTTGAGAGTGTAGGCAAAAAAATATTGGTGATGTGGGGTCCAGAGTCCATTGCTCCGACATCGTTAGCATCAATTGTATCACCGACTTGTTCTACAACCGCATCCTGTCTCACTAATACATGTAGCTGCTGTTTCAGCTGCCGAGCCTCGGAAAGACTTTTTTGCACCAGACAGTACCGATAACAATTCCCTGAAGAAGAATCGTTTAAATATACTCCAAAGGCATTTAAAGAAGTAATCAAGTCACTCCCAGGATTTAGCAAAGAAGAAATGAAGGGCCGACGTTCATCATCGGGTTTTTTTAAATCCCTTGCCTTCCATTTTAAACCATTTCCATCACTAGTAAATACATTGGTAGTAGTTGAGTAAACAGCTGCTATAGCAACTACCATATTAAGAATACAATCAGGAAGTTTGCGATCCAAGGCCTCCAGAATTATCCGTGAAAAACGAGGGGGAATTGGATAGGCTATCAGTCGTTTACCCAAAGTGGTGATACGGCGTTCAATTTGAGAGTCCAAAGCGCCAATAAGCGTCAAATGCGTTAAAGCCCGTTTCAATTCGTCTTCATTTGGAGGAGAGGGAAATGGAAATGATCCAACGTTATCAATACCTAAGTATTTCATCAACAGTACCACGGATTCTAATGATGTTCTGAGAATTTCGGGTAAGCCATGTTTTGGCATTAAGTTGGAATATGCGGCCGTACTATACAAACGGTAACAATGTCCAGGTCCCACACGTCCAGCACGTCCAGCACGTTGTTCCGCAGATGCCTGACTTGTCCACCCAATACGAAAGCAGCTTGCCCCAGTCGATTCATCTATTGTTTTAGTTTTCACACGGCCTGTATCCACCACATAACGAATATTTGGAATGGTAATAGATGTCTCGGCTACATTTGTCGCAATAACGCAAAGACGTTTTCCTCTCGGAGGCTCTCGAAAAACTTCTTGTTGCTTTGAAAAATTCAGAAGTGCATAAAGTGGAAGAATATGTAGTGAGTTTAATTCTCCATTAATTTCATCTTCCTCAAAGCTTGCTTCATCTTCATCCGCTGTGTCCCTACACCGTTTTCTTGAAAGGTTTAAATCCTTCTTCTCAACTGTTTCTTCCAATGCATAGTCTTCAACAGCAAGACCAAATTCGTCCTTTTCATCAAAAGACGCAGATTTATCCTTCTCAGAATCAAAATCTCTCTCATCATTATCATTTCGCCTTTGAACAACCAAACTATGCTTTGAATAACTTTGTTCATAGTATTCAATTCTTGTTTTGGCGTAGTGTTCACGTAGACGTTTGCATAAAGATTCAATTTCCTGTTGAGTACAAAGGAAAACAAGAATTCCTCCAGGCGGCAACTTCTTATGTATCTGACAAATTTTTCGAAATGCTTCATCGGTGTAATTCCTTAACTCAGTCCGCTTCGCAAAATGATTCGTTACCGGAAAACGACGAGCATCCACATTTAATAACGGTGGTGGAATAGAAAAGAGACGATTATTCTCTCTAAAATCTTCAACCCTCATTGTGGCAGACATGATAACTAATTTTAGAGGCTTTATATTCGTTTTTGACACAATACCATTATGTTTTCTCAGTTCCTCCAAGTGAAGATCATTTCTTAATGGCAAAATCCGCGACAAAAGACCAATCAAAATATCCCCTGCGAGACTCCTTTCATGCGCCTCATCAACCACAACAACACTGTATTTTTTTAATAGGAAATCCGATTGAATCTCCTTCAAAACAATACCTTCGGTAGCAAACTTCACTTTAAAATTGTCTGAAAGATTATTATCATATCGCACATGGTAACATACCATTCCTCCAAATGAAGTATTTAATTCTTCGGCTACACGTTTTGCCATTGAAACTGCTGCCACGCGCCTGGGTTCCGTAATCAGTATCGCTCCTTCCCTTCCAAAAACTGAACCCTTTGGATCACCATATCCACATTCCCACAAAAACTGGGGAATTTGTGTCGTTTTCCCGCTTCCTGTCTCACCACATATAAGAACACAGGTGCGAGAACAATTATTGATTGCCTCAACAATTGCCTGTTCTTCCCGTAAAACGGGAAGGTCTTTCCTAGTCTTTTCGATCTCAGGGTTGCGACAGACTAAAATATGCACATTTTTCGGAGCATATTTTGCAAGCTCTTTTGTTTCTCGATCGATAGCTTCTTGAACTTCTTCTTGTATTTTTTCATCCACTGCGCGACCTATTTTCAAGTTGGAAACATAATTCTCGTGTGCAATAAAAGAGTTCTGTTTCTGAATCGCCTCCTCTGCCTCTCTTTTCTGTCGGATGCATTCTTGTAAAGCAAATATTGCCTTTCTTCTTTCTGCTTTTTTTTCCTTTTGAAGCGCAATTTCCTTTTTCACAAAAGCCTTGTGTTTTTCTACGGTAGCCTTTACCAGAGAAAGTTGTTCCTCTGCCACTTTTAGCCGTGCATTCTTTTCCTTTTTAATTTCATGTTTTTCCTTCTTTTTTTGCTCTCGAGTTGTTGACAACACTCGAGGCAATGGTGTTGAAAGCCCCAAATCCTCAAACCGAATTGGCTTTTTAGAAGGCATAGCACCGCTCCCTAAACCCATAATAAAATAAAAAAATAAAAATAATAAAATGCCCCGCAAATATATATATATATAAATATATTGCAGAAAAAAATGTATATAAGAAAAAAACCAAAAATATTTTTCTATGTTTACATATGCAAAAATAATTTCATTTTTTTTTTTTTTCGTTCATCTATTTTATGCTCTTCATTTTCCGTAAATTTTCATCTTATTTCAATTATATTTTAATAATAATAATAATAATAATAATAATAATAATAATAATAATAATAATAATAAATGGATAAAAACAAATTAAAAAGTTTATTACTTCAAACCCCCTTCAATTAATAGTTATTTTTGGGAGTTTTGCTTCTGTAAAGCCTTTTTAGCAGCTTTTGCAGCTCGCTTTGCAGCCAAATCATTTGCAGCGGAAGATATTCCATCTTTCGATAAAGACTTCAAATATTGCGCTTTGGCACCCAAATGATTAACTTTTTCTCGCCCATCCGGAATATAAATAAGAACCTTTTTGGGTGTTACAGAATCCACAATGTAATATCCCCGACGTTCAATTTGGATTGTATCACCCTTTTTAAGAGTCTGAACGGCTTCCTCTGCGTATACCTCCTGAGTAAACTTTGTTACTGGGGCTATAATGTCATCAATTTTTTCTTCAAGATCTGGTTTTTTCTTTGTAAGAAGGTGATCATATTCAACCAGCTCCATCACCTCCGCATTCGGATTCTCGGGAACCCAAGTTAACTTATACTTCGTTTTTTTCACATCACCTTCAAGATGTAAAACAATATCGGCATCCGTAATTAAAGATAATTCCCCGGATGAGCGAATATTTTTAATGTACGCATTTCCCCAATCCATCAACGTAATCTCTTCGCCCTCCTTGAGAAGAGCAACGTCTTCTGTATCAAGGAAAATAACATCGGATTTAAAATATTTCTTAGTACCCATATCTGGAACTTTCTTATGAAGAAGTTTTTCACACTCTTGAAGATGGATTTGTCCTTCCACGGTGCAACGCACCTTCAATGAATTTGATACAACAGTATAACGTGGGACAGAAGGATCTAGAATTTGAGTATTCAAAAACCAGAGCTTTGTCCATTCCATAAAATTAACTGTCTTTGACATACCTTGTGCCTGAACAAACTTTCTTAACGCATCCATTTTTAATCCACGTCGAACCAACGCACGAACCGTTGGAAATCGAGGATCATCCCATCCATCTACTACACCATTCTCCACAAACTGAGTCAGCTTTCGCTTTGACATAACAGTGTACTCCATATTTAGTCTTGAAAAATCCTCCACTATTGGTTTTCTTATGTTCAAAGCATCACAAAACCAATAATACTGATCATTGCGATCATGATACTCATTGGTTCTCAAGGCGTGCGTCACCCCTTCAATGGAATCAATAATTGGACAAGCAAAATCATATGTTGGATAGGCCTTATACTTCGTTCCTTGTCTAGCATGAGGGGTTTCATTCACTCGATAAATCACAGGATCTCTCATGGCCTTATTTTCATTATCGACGGAAATTTTCGCCCTCAAACAGGTTTCTTGGCCCTCAGCACTTCCTTTTTTCATTTCGTTCCATAGGCGTTTTGTCTCCTCTACCTCTATATCACGATACCGTGTAGGAACCCCATCAAATCTACACTTCTGCATCTCTTCCCGTGGTGTTTTATCACAATATGCAAGACCTTTTCCAATAAGTTCTTCTGCTTTTTCATACATAAGGTCCATGTAATCTGAAGAAAATGTCGGGCCGATATCCCATGAAATCCCAAGAGTTGCTATATCATCTAAAATAGCCTGCTCAAAATGACCCCTTTCCTTAGAAGGATTGGTATCATCAAAGCGAAGAACAAGCTTTCCCTTAAACTTGGTTGCAAGCATACTGTTTATTAGTGCTGCCTTTGCATGCCCAATGTGAAGGAAACCACTGGCCTCAGGAGGAAATCGAGTCACAACCTTTCCTTCTTCAGCGTTTGTTAGGATAAGTTTATCAGACTCCACATTCGCATTTGAGGCAGACATATAGAAGTTTTTTTGAAAAGAATGAGTCCCGTTTATAAGCAATGGCTCTAAAAAAATACACTCACCAAACTGTTTTAAAAATCTAAACATCAAACTCAAAAAAAAAAAAAAAAAGCGAGAGAAAGAAAAATTTGAGCATGTGAAAAAAAGAAAAACGTTATTATTATCATTGCTATTATTAAATACTATTATTACTATTATGATTAATATTACTATTATTAATAATGTCGCTGTTGTTTCTATTATTATTATTATTATTATTATTATTATTATTATTATTATTTGCTGGAACAACACAAAATTTGTGCTTTTAAAGAAAATTCTCCGGATGGTGCCAAGCTTGATAAAAGCAAAAGGAAGACATATTTAATTTTTCGAGGTAATTCTTATCGAGAGTGCTTCGATTTGGCCTCTTTTTTTTTTTACTTTTTTTGGTTTCTTTTAAGCAATTTTTTGCTTGACTCGTAGTTGTTAAAAATTTAAAAGTCCATTTTTGAAAAAGCTTTTCTGTCAAAAAGTTTATTTATTTATTTATGGACATTATCTGAAAACTATTTTTATTGCCAATATAATAAATAATAATAATAATAATAATAATAATAGTAAATAAATAAATAAATAAATAAATAAAATAATAATAATAAATAATAATAAATAAATAAATAAATAAATAAATAATAATAATAATAATAATAATAATAATAATAATAATAATAATAATAATAATAATAATAATAATAATAATAATAATAATAATAATAATAATAATAAATAAATAAACAATAATAATGGAAAAATAAACAAAAGCCGCCGCGTGACTGAAATCATGATCACAGAATTGAGAACAAAAGGGGCAACAAGGACCCCCGCCATCCGCTATTCTTATCCGGCGCCTCCTCCCTCAAAAAACGCCGCGCCCCAACAACCCCGCGGGACGCCGCGACCAAGAACCGCCAAAACGAACGTTCGAAAACCGAAAAGGAGCGACGCCCGCCGCCGGGCACGGGCTGGGTCGGGGTTTGGCGTGGTTTCGCCCGTTCGCGCGCGGCGCCGGCGGGTTGTGGGGCCTCCGTTCGCTGACTTTTTTGGTGCCCTTTTTCCCGCCACGCGGGGAATCGCATTTCTCTCTGATCTTCCCACTCACATCTTTTCTTCTTTTCTTTTATCCTTTTTGGCGGGCAGGGGAGTAGCAATGTTGCGAATGTGTCGGCGTTTGGCGATGAAGTACGCTGACTTGGAGCTGACCACTCGGGGTGAGTTTCCGCATGGCATGAAGGAGCCTGGATTTGTAAAGAAATTGGACCAAAATATTCCGTGGTATTTTTCCACATACCGGTCAATGTACCATTGGCCAATAACCGGTGATAATTGGAGCGACTTGAACGAGGCGGAGAAGCATCATGATCTTCACATGTTTTACACTTTAGCGTGGTGGAAATTGGGGGAGGGTATCTTTGACGCGAATGATGAGGACAATTAGTGAAAAATACTGTTGTGTTTGTGATTTATCCGGAATAGAAGAGATGTATTTTTATTTTATTTTATTTTATTTTTATTATTACATATCTTGTTTTTTTTTTTGTTTTTTTTTTTTTTTTTTTTGTCTGTGCGTGAAAGTTTTTATTGTTGCTCTTGTGTTTTTTGTTGGAAAACTCGAAAATTTAATTCTTAATTATTTTTTTTTTAATTGTTTTAGATAGTTTTATTTACTAGCCATTTTATACTTTTTTTGGCATTACAGCAATGTTACGAAGATGTATGAGATCATTATATCGTTATCAGGAGTTTGAAATGTCAAAAAATGCAAAGTATCCTTTTCACTATGCGAGAGAAGCACCCAATACATCAGTGTTTCCTCAACATCAGTTAAATTTTTGGATGTTCTGGGGCTGGGGCAGGCAGGAATTATGGATAGATCGTGATACCCGGAAGTACGAGACAACCTGGGAAATGCTTCGACGTTTACTTTTGTGGTTATTTCCATGTTACTTCATCTTTCCATTTGGCCTGCCTAAGTGGATTGCGACAAACTATCATGGCGAATATGGTGAAAAACCCTTTCTAGACTATACAATGCATTATCCAATGGATAATCATTACATTGAATTTGGAGGCAGTGTGCTAGACGCGGAGTGGTTGCGTCACATACACTCAAAGGAGTCTTACTAATTTTCTTTACTATTATTAATAGTATTATTATTTATTTATTTATTTATTATTTTGCAAAACGTTTTGATTTTGCAGTGATTTTTTTTTTTGAAGTTATTTGGGGAATGCGTCGAATGGCGTTGTTTTTATTAGGAGCATAGCGGTGGTATTATTTCTATTTGTGGTAACATTGGTTTTTAGTATGTGTTATTTATATTTAGCTTATTGGAATCGGGGTATTTTTTTTTTTCTTTTTCTTGTACGAGAAACTTACTTAGTTTTTGTTATATGACCGTGCGACAGAATGCTTAAAAATTATTATTATTAGTATTAGTATTAGTAGCATTAGTACTATTATTATTGATATTATTATTATTGTTATTTCACCCTATATTTTTTTCTTACTCTTGCAAAGGAATTAATAATTATTATTACAAATATAATTATAATTATAATTATAAAATAATAATGATATTGTGCTGTTGTTATATTATTTATTTATTTATTTATTTATTTTACTTGTCTATTTTTTCTCATTGGATGCTGTTAGTTTATTACATGATATGAGGAGTAGGAGGGGTGTTTGCTGCTTTTCTAGTGTATACACAACACAATTTAGAGTACATGCAACATATGACGTAGCTCCATTGAGCCACAAACAGCTTTTTTCGATTTATCAGAATTGGGGCCAAACACGTGATGAATTGGATCTTTTGGAAGAGGTGGAAGAAAGAATTTCCAAATGGAAACTTAACAAATGGGAAATGCGAATTCCTCCTCTACTTACTACACGTGAAAAAGAGTTAATGCGTCAACAACAAGAACTACTTAAGAGTATATTTTTTGACTGGGGAAAGTGTCGAGATGCGTTAAACAAGGATCTTGAATTGATTTCCTCCATTACTGGATTACCAAAGGGAACAGTTAGAGAAAAGAATCGGGCATGGCTTCAAGAAGAAGCGGCAAAACTGCGTTGGGTAGGGGAAGTTAGCAAGGCAACTCGATTGCGTGACGCTTTTTTGCGTTTAGAAGTTTATGGATCAAGGGATCACAGACTTTTAGAGAGACTATGCTGCATTTATGGACTTGGCTTACAGGGCTCGTTTGAGAGTGCGTTTTCAAACTACATTGTGGAGGATCCTATCACCAAAAAAATATACGTTGATGAAAAAAATTCATTTCGTGATCTTCTAGCCTATATTATTCATACATATCCTCAAATTGATATCATATATGATTTTCTTGGGTTTAACTTTATTGGGGGATATCGTTCATCGCTGCGTCGTTACCTTGAGTGTATGGTTTCCCGATCGACAGAGGGGGAAAAAATACCAGGTCGTTTAGTATTTGGAAGAGGAAAACCTGCTGAAATTCTTTTTGATTTTGGTAATAGCAATGAATCATTGGTTTCTGGCGAATGCACACAAGGTTTTCCCGATTTTGTTTTTGTAAAGGGATCAGATATGACCCTTATTATTATTGCGTCGGAGAACTCATGGCTCCGAAATCGTCAGTTGCCCCATAGAAAACAGATGGAAGGTATTGCAAGGCGTGCTAGTTTTGTTTTGGGTATCCCATTTTCGGAGGTGCGTGTTCGAAACCTTCTTTTGCCCCCGACTTACCTTGACAAAGGTTCTATTGTTCGAATCAATGAGGCGGTTCTTGGGTTATCAAAGGAAGAGCAGCGAAATTTGGCTCCTTGGCTGGAAATGTATCAGAAAGAGTTGGATTCCAAAGACGTTGATTTTTGTTCTTTGATGAAATCAACAAATGAGGAGGAGTGGCTTACATTGTAGTTACTCATTGATACTATTCACTCTGAAGAAAATGTTTTAATTTGTTTTGCATTAATGCATTCTGCGGAATCATCATATGAAATATACCTTTTTTTTTTTTTTAATGGATTTGATCATTTGGTGATTATTTTTCTTTTATAATATATTTTATTTATTATTTTGTTTTGTGTATATCCTTTTTATTTTTTTTTTTATCTATAGTTGTTGTTATTTCTATTATTATTACTTTTTCTCTTTTTCTTTAATACGCATATTGTTAAATTTACTTTTTTTTGTCGTTATGTAAAGACCATGTCAGTGACAAAACACACATGCGTGATAAGGGTGAATCTCTTTCTTTTTCTGCCGGATACTTCTGAATACCAGGAGTATGGATCGGTTGGTTGTGTTATAGTTGGCACGCTAAATAGCCCGCCGTTGTACAAATTAGGGTGCTATAACGAGAAAAACGAGTATATATGTACTGCGAACATTACAACTAACAACGAAACCGGTGCCTGTATTGCATTGCAAGCAGGAGGATATATTTCTTTTAAAGATGAGCAAGGCAAAATCTGGTCTATGCAATTTGAAAGTGAAAATCAAGCTATTGAATTCTGCTGTCATGTGGTTGTGGCAATGTATGGGGCGTCAGGCCATCCAGATCAAAGTATTCTTGCATGTGATGTTGCCATTGGAAAATGTGATCGTACCGTATTTGCCAACGATATAGTAAAGGTGCGTTATCAAAGTTGGGTAGTTCAATTTGAAGCGTATGGGAGCGAGCTTCCTATTCTCGGAAGCAAATTGGATGGCAATTTGCAGGCTGATAAACCGTGCACCTTAACTATTCCCGTTAATCATATGAGTGTTACTCCTGAAATGAAAGGGTTTGAGGGGATGGTTATAGGAATGGGGGAAGAAGGATCTCGTGTGATCATTGTTCCTGTTCGAGCAAAACGTGGTAGCGGACCTTCAGTGCACATGTGTTTTTATACTCATTTGGTGAAGAAAAAGGATCTTTCACATGTGGCGCAAGTTGGTACCTCTGTTGCAGTGCCTTTGGATAAAAATTCATCTTTGCAGGTCATGGATGAATCTAGATTAGTGTTTTCAAATAAAAAAGATCATGCTATTCCACGCCCAAAATCTCCACCACCAGGTTTTAATAGAGAACAGTTATTGATTGTGGATCGAATGCGCGACCAAGTTCAGTGCTTTTTCAACAGCTACAGGAGGCTCGACGACAGCTTGATGT